TATCTATACTACTTGGTGATCTTAGATGATTATTCTCATTATGTGTGGACTTTTCCTCTTCGTCATAAATCCGATGCTTTAGCCACACTCACCACCTTTTATTCCTATGTCACCATCCAGTTCGGTTCGCCCCATACTCGCAATCCAAACTGATAATAGAAAAGAGTTTGACAACATCGCTCTTCGCCCACTTCTCGCCTCCCACGGCACCATCTTCCGTTTGACTTGCCCCTACACTTCACAGCAAAACAGTCGCGCCGAGCGCATCCCGCACTCTTAATGACTGCATTCGCTCTTTCACTCTAACGTGCCCGCTCGGTTTTGGCCCGATGCTCCTATTGCCGCCACTCTCTTAGTTAACATTCGTCTGTGTCGTCCTCGGTAGAACTACGCCCCTCACCACCTTCTCTTCGGTACACCACCATCCTATGATGGTCTCTGCATGTTTGGGTGCCTCTGTTATCCCAGCATCGCGTCCACCACGCCACACAAGCTCGCACCATGTTTCGTTCCCTGCATCTTCCTTGGCTACCCTCCTAACACTAAAGGTTGCCGGTGCTATGATCCTATCACTCATCGTGTGTACACCTCGAGGCACGTGTATTTTTTCGAGATGGTGTTCCCTTTTTTCAGGTTCATCCGGCTTCCGCCCCTTTGGTGCTGGCCCCCGCGCCCCCTTCCTGGAGCGATGCACGGTGGCAGCCCCCGGAGGCCCCTCCGGCACGGCGCCTTCTATCGCCACCACCCGGTTTTTCGACTCCCTCCCCAGAGGTCGAGTCTGACCGGGCCCCTGGATCCTCGTCTCCCTCCTACGAGGTTGAGCCGGTGGGTACTCCGCCCGCCAACCCGGCTGGCACCGTCACCCCGGCGACGGGCTCGACATCCTCCTCGCTCGCCGCCCCCTCGGCCGCTAGCTCGGCTGGCACCGCAGCCCCTACTGTCGCTGTTGCGGCCCCCGTCACCGGCTCCGCAGCCCCTGTTGCCGCCGCGGGTGCCCCCGCAGCCGACGGCGCCCCTGCCGCCGCCACGGCCCCCGCTGCTATCGCCGGCCCTGCTGCCCCGCCACTTGGCGTGACTACCCGTGCCCGAGCAGGAGTGCTTTGGCCGAGCATGCGCTACTCCTCCGACGAGTATGTGTGTGCCGCCTCGACGTCGACACCATCACCCGTTCCCACCTCCGCTCGTGCTGCCTTTCGGGATCCCCATTGGTTAGCTGCGATGCAGTAGGAGTTTGGCGCCCTACAGCGCAACCGCACGTGGCAGCTTGTTCCGCGGCCCCCTCGTGCCAATATCATCACTGGCAAGTGGGTGTTTCGCCACAAGACTCGCCCGGACGGTTCTCTCGAGCGCTGCAAGGCTTGGTGGGTGGTTCGTGGATTTCGGCAGCGCGCAGGCGTGGACTTCACCGACACCTTTGCCCCGGTTGTTAAACCGGGCACGATCCGTGTCATGCTCCAGTTGGCGGTCTCACGCGTCTGGCATGTGCACCAGTTGGATGTCTCCAACGCCTTCTTGCACGGCCATCTTGCCGAGTAGGTGTACTGTGAGCAGCCCACTGGATTCGTCGATGCTGAGCACCCATACTTTGTGTGCTTGCTCTCCCATTCTCTTTATGGGTTGAAGCAGGCGCCTCGGGCTTGGTACCAGCGTATCGCAGCCTTCCTGCGGTCTCTCGGATTTCGGTCCACTCGCTCTAATGCCTCACTCTTCGTGTATCATCAGGGGGCCGACACTGCATATCTGCTGCTCTACGTCGACGACATCATCCTCACGGCGTCCACCCCCGATCTCCTTCAACGGCTGACTGCTCGTCTTCGTGATGAGTTCGCCCTCAAGGACTTGGGGCCCCTGGACTACTTCCTCGGCATCGAGGTGGTCCGCCGGAGTGATGGCTTCTTTCTGCATCAGCAGAAGTACACCCACGAGCTCCTGGAACGTGCCGGTATGCTTAACTGCAAGCCGACGCCCACCCCCGTCGACATGAAGGCGAAGGTCTCTGCTCTGGAGGGGTCTCTCGCGTCCGATGGAGCATTTTATTGCTCCATTGTTGGTGCTTTATAGTACCTGACACTGACTCGACCCGACCTGCAGTACGCTGTTCAGCAGGTGTGCCTCCACATGCACGCTCCGCATGACTTCCACTGGACCTTAGTGAAGCGTATTCTCTGGTATATACGCGGCAACATGTCTTTGGGCCTCACCCTGACGGCCTCCGCCTCCACCGACCTCGTGGCCTACTCGGATGCCGACTGGGCTGGCTGCCCTGACACTCGGCGCTCCACATCAGGCTACTGCGTCTACCTTGGGCCCTCGTTGATCTCGTCATCGAAGCGGCAGCCCACGGTTTCCCACTCCAGCGCCGAGGCAGAGTATCGCGTCGTGGCTAATGTCGTGGCCGAGTGCTCTTGGCTCCGTCAGCTGCTCCAGGAGTTGCATTGTGATGTTCATAAGGCCACTCTTGTCTACTGCGGTAACGTCAGCACAGTATACCTTTCCGCCAACCCGGTGCACCATCAACGTATGAAGCATATTGAGATCGACATTCACTTCATGCGCGAGCAGGTTGCCATTGGCCGTGTTCGGGTTCTTCACGTGCTGATGTCGCAACAGTTTGCTAATGTGATGACTAAGGGATTGCCTACTTCCGTCTTCGAGGAGTTTCGGTCCAGTCTCTATGTCTCTGACGACGCCTCGACTGGGGGGGGGTGTTGAGTTGTATTTTGTGTTGCATGTATTACGTGTTGTGGCCCACCTCCTAGTTGTGTATAGTTGAAATTGAGGCCTACCATGTACTTATATATACGTGCACCAGCACCCCATCAATACAACCATTATTGTATTGCAAAACATCTCTCTACAGCCCAGATGTAGAGACCGGGGGTATTATCCTCCTTAAAAAAAACAATCGTAAAGGTTTTGTCCACTGCTTCCCACGAAAGACACGTGGCTGTGATCCATGCAGGCTCTCAGCCTATACTTATCCACACATAATGTTTTTTGTAACAAGGCTTCTTTTGTTGCAAAACATCTATGGCAACGATGGTGGTCATGCAACTCCTGTGATATATTTCATTGCCAAAAAATCCCGCAACGTCATCCATGTTGTAAAAGTCCTTATGTAACATCGTCTATGTTGCAAAAAGGTGAAGATGAAAAAAAATTCTAACACAACATTTGTTGCAAATGTTTATGGAACATGAACTCTGTTGCAAAGTACAACACTGACTTTGTTGTAATTGTGAGGACGAGATTGGGCCGCTAGATGTCACCAAATCTAACGGCCGTCGAGGCCAGGAATTTTTCAGCACGCCCCTTAACACATTGCCACATAAGCAACCTCATTAATTTATTGCCACATAAGCAAATTTGCTTATCTAAACCCTAAGTTACTACTACCTCCGTTTCAATGAATAAGGTGTGTTTTGTTTCATTAAGACAAGACTTTGACCAACAATTACTCTTTTGATATTTGATTATGGGAAACTCTTCACAGCAGCCGGCGGATTCAATACTCGTGTCCGCCACCCGCTCCAATTGACACGTGTCTTCTTGGATCCCACTTACGTGTTCGTGATCTTATCTACTAGAACCAAATTATAGCGTCTTCTCCAGAACACTCTTTCCATTCCCCGTCGAACCATCAGTGAAGCACATCGTCACCATCACGGATGTCCACTGAACCATCTTGCTGTTGCAAGCACACAGCCACCCTGTTGTTGCGGTGCATGCACGCCCCACGCCTCTCACCCTGGCTTCTCCTCTCAATCTCTCTCTTCACGTTTTCTGCAACATAATCTTTGTTGCAACTTCTTGCAACAAAAGTCTTGTTGCAGGAATACAGAGAAGACGCTGAAAACGTTGTTGCAAACTTTGCAACAAGGATCTTGTTCCAGGAATACAGAAAAGAGATTGGAGATACCAATATTGCAAAAAAAAAATCCTGCAACACGACCTATATTTTAATTTATTTTTCTGCAACATGACCTATGTTGCAAAAAAAATACTGCAAACCTACTTATGTTACAAAAAATCCGTAGCATAATCTGTATTGCAAATATTTCCCGCAAGAAGACATTTGTTGCAAAGTAGAGGAAGGCGTGGGGCTGATCGATTGTGTTAATCTAGCGGCTCGCGAGGCATGTAGCAGGCCCCTTTGATTATTTCCTTTCACTAAGACAAGACTTTGATCAACAATTACTCTTTTCATATTTGAATTATGTGATACAAAATTATTATCATAACAAAGTACTTTTAAATACTAATCTAGTGACACAAGTTTCATGTCATATAACCTTGTTTATGGAGTAATGATTGGTCAAATGTGTCTTAACGAAACAAACTACCAAAATACGCCTTTACAATGGAGGTAGTACCAAGGTACCCGCACTATCATGTAAAAAAAAAAGTTACCCGCACTATGACGGTCTAAAACCAACGAGGCAGAACCAGACACGACCTGGCCGCCACTGCATAAAGCAGATAATTACCTCGAGTTTAGCCGCCGTAGTAGGCACGCAAACTTTTGTTTTAAAGGAGGGAAAACGCGAAGAGCAACCATACAAGTTACTCCCTCCGTAAACTAATATAAGAGCGTTTAGATTACTACTTTAGTGATCTAAATGCTCTTACATTAGTTTACAGAGGGAGTACCACGGTATCTCACACGCTAACCCAACATCATAGTTTGATGGACGGAAATGATCCCAAAGATGCTACCCTGAAAGATTGACAACACAATTACACAAGCAAATGCATAACGCAGTCGAACTAGCATACAAGTACATAGCTAAAATAGCAGTTAAATCATCCATAACCATCGCTTTGTCATGCTTATTCAGTGGAACAAACGTTTTGTTTGGTGAAGAAATTCAGGCAGGTGTCTCTTGGCTTTGCTCTAACCCCGCCTCGGAAGGAGAATACATCTATTGTAAGCTCCCAGACGTTCACATTAGCATCATTCAAAGCTGAGGTGAAACTCCCATAGGTGCCATGGGTTTCCATTACCATGAAATTTTGTGCCTTCCTTTAGCGATTCTCCGAGCAATCACCTTACGCCCACCAGTGGTTGATTTGCTGCAAAATGAGAAAACGAATGGGAAAACCAGATATCAGCACACTGAGAACACAGTAACTTATGAACAAAGTCTGGTCCATAAAAAAACCAGCCAAACTAATTGCTCGACATAAAAAATTGGCATATTTTAGTTAGTCACATGAAGCAAGGAGGAGGGAGGGAGGGAGGGAAGGGAGACAGACCGTGCACGAAATCCATGGGTTCGTTTCCGCTTGATGGTGCTGGGTTGGTAAGTCCTTTTGGGAAGTAACTCAAGGGGTTCATTAGCAACAGGATCAATTCCTACAGATAACCATTTCAGTCATACATTTAGAAGATAATTAATAACCAATTCTGCAGCGCTTACCAAAAAACAATGAAACAATATGATCAGCAAAACTAACAAGAGATCAGCACATTATATGCTCTATTCAGTCAAACTATTCATAATAGCAAAAAACAGGAGTATTTCTGAGCATTTTAGATTCCAGGGAATCCAAGCCTTCCTAAATCGCATGTCCATGTGTTGAGGAATTTTCAAAATTCATGAAGTCTTTATTATAATATGGTTTGCTGAACAGTATTCATGGTTCCACGTGATCCGTAAACAGATTTATTAAAATTTATGTTCTGTTACCCTGGTTGATATCCAAGCATAAAAAGACAAGTAGGAAATTTAAAACAATGTATAATGCATTCCTATGCTCGCATGATTCTCTATAAAACAGTGATTGCAAACTTTTTGTGAGTGAGGTAAATAACTTTACAAATATAAGAAACATCACTACATCGAAAGCAAGCAACTTTGCAAGAAATGAATTGATTAAACTGTAATTTTTGTAGCTTGAGAAAAATGTGAACTAAACCTACAAAACATTGGCAGTGTACTGAAAATGGTTCCAGTAAACCGTATATTTAACCATATAAAAGGAATGGGTAAAGCTATGAGTCACTCTACTCGCTGGTTAAGCTGGGTATGTCGTGTTGGAGTAAACCACGTTACGTGCGTGGTGTGTGTGGCATGTGTGTGCCCGTGGTGATAGTACTAGGCCTATAGCAGCGGATGTGGAGCTGCATGTGTTGGTTAGTCAATTTAGTACGTGCAGGCTTGGCCGGGTCTTGTGGAGGAGCATCAAGACATGGGTTGAGTCATGCGGATCATGCGAGGGAAGCCCGTTGTGGAGGTCACGCGTGCGTGCGCGTAAGTCGCTGGAATGGGTTGCTCAGGCGTTGGGTTAGCTGGGCTATAAGACTGCCATGTAATCCGTTGTGCTTTAGTTGAGCCGTGTGTAGCCATGTAGCCACTGTAAGGGAAAAAAAGATTGGGGCGTTCGTGCGCCCGTGGCGGCGTTTGTGCGCCGGCCGGAAAATCTTGTGTCCACTGTTCTTCTTCTTCCACCTCCGTTCGAGTGAGAGGAGAGGTAGCTAGAGGGCTGCGGTTCCAACATGTCGTATAATAGCTACTAGGTGGGTGACGGCCAAGTACTGGTTATTTTAGGCACCGAACCTTTATTTGTACCAGTGAGCCAGATCAAACAGGACACAATTCCTAAACTAATCAGCAATTTACTCAAATTATCATGCGCCGGAGATGTCTGCTTAGCTCAGTGAGCCAGATCAAACAGGACACAATTCCTGAACCTATTCAGCAATTTACTCAAATTATCATGCGCCGGAGATGTCTGCTTAGCTCAGTGAGCCAGATCAAACAGGACACAATTCCTGAACCTATTCAGCAATTTACTCAAATT